TATATATATTTGTTATATTGTCTACTATGACAGAAACACCATTCTTAAGACTTGTTCCAGTTGTTGTGTCCCAAAGTTCACTCAATTCGAGTGTTGCCAAATAGTAACCAAGTAAATAATTCTGTCATCAGAAGTGCATTGTGTGCATGTACATTGTATCGTAATAAGTAAAAATAATAAGAAAAGCAAGAAAAGCAATAAAATGCGAATGTTCTAATGACACGGCGTCAACTTCTACGACAGAATCACCATTCCTAAACTTGCTATCCTCCTCATATTCGGAAAAAGTTACATCTGCATGCTTTCCTCATTTTCATCAAGTAAACTTGATATGATTCTGTCATCGGAAGGACATTGTGTGCCTGTACATCAATAAGAAACAATGACAACAAAAGTAATGATAGCATTAAAAATAACATCCGAAAACCCACAAATTACAGAAAAAGTGGGATCCGAGGTTTGTCTTCCTCTGTCTTCAAAAAAGAAGTCAAACCCACTAGTTATTACTAGTAGTTTCTTAGTAGTTATGAGTAGTTCTATGTTTACTAATTATCTGTTTTATACCAAATGTTTCTTTTGTTCCTGCAATTGGCCCTCGGGCAAGAATTTGCAATAAAACTTGTTATTAAAAATGAATATTGGCACAGCGACTGAATCACCATTCATAAACTTGCTACCTTCAAAAATTTCAGGAAAACTTAGTAATACATTTTCAAAAACTTAGTAATACATTTTCAAAAACTTAGTAATACATTTTCAGAAACTTAGTAATACATTTTCATCAAGTAAACTTGATATGTTTCCGCCATTAGAAGAACATCTAAACAAGTTAATAGTAAGTGATAAAACTCCGCATGTTCTATTGGCACAGCGTCTACTTCTATAACGGAACCACTATTCCTTAAGACTTGTTCAAGTTGCTGTCTCCTAAAGTTTACTCCATTCTAGTGTTGCCAATTCTTTACCAAGAAAACTTGGTATGATTCTGTCATCAGAAGGGCATTTTGTACCTGTACATTGTATCGTAATAAGTAACAATATTAATAAATGTAATAAACGCAATAAAAATGAACAGTCTATTGGCACAGCGACTGAATTACCATTCATAAACTTGCTACCTTCAAAATTTTAGGAAAACTTAGTAATACATTTTCATCAAGTAAACTTGATATGATTCCGCCATTAGAAGAACATCGTGTGCCTTGTCTAAACAAGTATGATAATAAGTAATAAAACTCCACATGTTCTATTGGCACAGCGTCTACTTCTATAACAGAACCACTATTCCTTAAGACTTGTTCCAGTTGCTGTCTCCTAAAGCTCACTCCACTCGAGTGTTGCCAATTGTTTACCAAGATAACTTCATATGATTCTGCGTCATGAAAAGGACATATAGTGGTTGTTTCTGTATCGTAATAAGTAATGATAATAATAAATGTAATACAAGCAATAAAATTTAATTATTACTTTAGCACAGCGTCTACTTTTACCAGAGTATCACCATTCCTAAACTTGCTATCTCCTGTAAATTCTCTCCATGTGGAAATTGAAGCATTGTACAGTACTGTTTTAATACCATCCTATTCGGTATTTTTCTGGTGTATATTGAATCTGTTGGGACATTTGGAAAAAAAATGCTGAACTAAACCAATACTGTAATTCCTGGTCTTAAGTTTTTTTAAGTTCTATTTTTGTATTAATTATTTCACTCCATACTTTAGTATGGAGGGAAATACTGTTTTTACTGATGATTCTCCTCCTCCTTCTTCTTCTCCTCCTGCCATTTCTTTAAATTGATTCAATTCCTTCATTTTTGGGCCAAACGACCTGGAATTTCGTATAAAGGTAGAGTGGGTAAATACCCCTAGGCGTTTTTTATTTTTTTTTGATACAAGCTTTTACAATCGTTTTATTTGCGTTTTTAGCTGTTCCCATAGGAAAGTACTGTGGGGCGTACGCGCGTGACG